CTAATATGTGTTGTAGGTAAGTTTGGTGGTACCTTTTATCTGAAAATTCTCAGTCATCTTTGCAGTCATCTGTGATATGGCAGGTTTTTTTCCCTGGGGCTGGAAAGTGTTATTCTCCCCATTTCCTGTAAGCAGATAGCCTCAGAAAAGTTAGTTTTAATAATAAAAATGCTTACTCACCTTGCTAAAGGATTGTGAAATTTACAAGCGTGTGTGCTGCAGAGACTGGGCAAGACATTTAGTAAAGCACGATGCCTTTACTTAAGAAGTGCTGACTTGTTCATGACCAGAGCTTACTTAAAACTATGATCTTCTCCATCTCCCCCAGCAGTGCTGTTCATTTTTTTTAATTTTTTTTTTCTAATGATGATACCTTAAAGTGGAAGTTTTTACATAAATGGTGGGCTGGACTCAAACCATCTTTTTTTTCCTTTTTTTAAAGGCCAACTTGGGAGAAGAGCTTATATCACCCTTTAAATTTGCACAAATCCTTTTCAGACTCTGACTTACGTGATCCCTTTGGCTCAAGTGTATCTGATGGGTTTGACAGAGAATTAGTGTTTGAAGGAAATGGTAGTGAAACTGGATCATCTGCATTTGCTAAGGAACAGATTGAAAAAATGTGGGATGGGTTCTCTGTGGAAGACTACATCTCCAGCACCAAACACAGCTCACCAAGCTCACCAGCCTTCAGAGTGACGTGGAAGAAACAGAAAACATGGTCACCAAAAGTTACTGTGCCCAAGCCCTTCCAGATGACTGTTAGAGAAGCTAGGAAAAAAGAACAGAATGTCAAATCAAAGTCACAGATTGAAATGGAAAATAGCTTGTTGAAGAAACAACTAGAGGAAGAAGCAGAGTGTCAGAAAAAATTCCGAGCCAATCCAGTGCCTGCTGCTGTTTTCCTTCCATTCTACCATGAAATCATGCAAGAAAACGAAGAACGCAGGAAGTCTGTGAAAGAGAGAAGCAAACTCAAGCTTTTGGCTTCTCAGAAGCCCTTTAGATTCACTGAAAGAGAGAAGCAAAGGAATGAAATTAGGAAAATGCAATTAAGAGACCTTTCTGCACCTAAAAAGAAAACAAAGCTGTTCAAAGCAAAACCAGTTCCTAAATGTGTTTATGATCCAGCTGTTAGTGACAAGCTAAAGGAGGAAGAGCTCTACAGAGAAATCAGGATCAGGATGAGAGCTGAAGAGTTGCTACGTAATTCATCTCTACCCAACAGCAGACTGGCTTTGAGAGGTACCAATAAAAAGGAGAAACATAAGTGTGCTGAACCAAAGGAAACAGGACATAAACCCAAGATTAAGTCAAGTGTTCCAAATTTTGAACTACTACACCAGAAATTTCAGAAACGGCTCCTGCAACAAAAACAAGTGAAACACCTTACAGTTTGTGAACCCTTTGATCTTCGTACTCCATGTATTCCCTCAAACAAGGGGAGGATTTTGAAGGACATTCAAGAGGATGAAGAAAAGTTGAAAGAAACGCGCTGGCCATATGCCTCTCCAAGATGCAAACCTCAAATGAAACATTCAAGTGCAAATTCACATCTCTCAGGATTTGGAGAATCTAAATCACCAAAAATGACAGAATCCACAAGACGACGGCTACAAGCCACAAGGTGACTACTTTAGTGGTGCTCTATATTTTATCACAGAATGTTCGGGGTTGGAAGGGATCTCTGTGGGTCATCTAGTCCAACCCCCCTGCCGAAGCAGGGTCGCCTACAGCAGGCTGCACAGGACCTTGTCCAGGCGGGTCTTGAATATCTCCAGAGAAGGAGACTCCACAACCTCCTTGGGCAGCCTGTTCCAGTGCTCCGTCACTCTCAGAGGGAAGAAGTTCCTCCTCATGTTCAGACGGAACTTCCTATGCTTCAGTTTGTGCCCATTGCCCCTTGTCCTGTCGCTGAGCACCACTGAAAAGAGTTTGGCCCCATCCTCCAGACACCCACCCATGAGATATTTATAAGCATTTCTAAGGTCCCCCTCTCAGCCTTCTCCAGGCTAAACAAGCCCAGTTCCTTCAGCCATTCCTTGTAGGACAGATGCTCCAGTCCCCTCATATATTCTTTAAGAGTAGACTTCTTTTGTATTTCTACATGTGTTGCCAGTTCTTCCATTCAGTGAATATAGGAGTTAATATAAGGTCTTAATTATAATAGAAAATGAAAATATTTAAATATTGGACTTAATTAGTACTTATGATTGTTAAAGAAACATAGTGCATTTTTCTCAGAATGTCTGTAGGAAAGGGACAAATGACTGCTGTTTCCCAGGATACACCTGAATCCCATAAAATGGCACATGCCTTGTGTCCTCTTAGGCCAACCCTGTTTTTCAGCCTGTTTTTCTCTTTTGAACTTCTTTTCCCAAAGCCTCTTTTCAAGTCTTGCTCTTAATTTAAAATTACTTCAGCCTTAGTTTTTTTTTCTACCCAGGAATTCACTTGAGGAAAAGAGAAAGCTGGAAGAACAACAAAAAAGGAACAGAACAAAGCAGAAACAAAGAATGAAAAAACTCCAGAAAATTGTAACAGCTCGTGCTGAGGCCAATGACCCACATCAGAGCCTAGCTCAGATGTCCAAATCCAAATTTAAAACATTCAGGTATTTTGTTGTATTCCCCTGAATCCTGAACCTCTCATTCGACATTGTGTGTTAAACATACAATGTGAAAAATAGCACAGTTTAAGTTTGCATAGTTACACATTTGATAAATTATACACTAGACAAGTAGCTAGTAAAAAAAGTGGCAAAATTTATTATTACAATTGGGAAATTGTTGCCAGTTTTAATTATTTCAATCTGTATGTTCCACCTTATAGTATTAGAGATTAGCTAGCAGGAGACTCCTGTGTTTTCTCAGTTGACATGTCAACTAAAGAGGAAATGTTTAAAAAAAATCAAAAGGAAAAGGAACAGTGTAGTTACAGAATGTCCTTGCGCTGCTGGATTGATAGGTGTTGGTACTATTTTGGTGCTAGCTGTCTCCTGAAGTAGTGAACATTTCACAATTCAATTTTTGTCCCAGCAGTTCCCCACTTAAGAGGGAAAATTAGAGCAGGAATATTATTTTAACTTAGCACATGTATTAGCAGCTAACCAGGAAGCTGCTGATGCTTAGGAGGAATATAATCCAAAGTTACCTTTACTAGAGATACAAACTCAAAGACTCTTTCTACATAACTGAGAAGTCGTACACGGGAAGAAACATCAGAGCCTTCTCAGTGTGTTGTAAGCTATCAGTCCAGAAGGCTCTAGCTCTCTGATGCTAATCTAATTCCAGAATGGCTGTTTGACCTTGTGCTTGTGGCTGATTTAACCATTTCTGCTTATTGTTCTTTTTAATCGTAGAAAAAAAAAAGTCTTGTTTGAATGAGTCTTAGTGAGGTTTATAATCTGTCTTGGCATGAGAGCACTGCAGCAGTATTGTGCATTTAAGGCACTGTTAGGTGGAGATGGTGAGAGGTACTGACTGCTCTGCCCCTGTTGCTTCGTGCATAGGCAGGATTCTTGGGCAGCGACTATGAATCCTAATTTCCAGTAACCAGGCAAATTGCCAGTAACTGATAGTAGTAGGGTAAAGCAATAGAAAGGTGAATGATCATGAGATACACCTGATTACAAGATTCATAGCCTGGACTAGCAACTTTTAAGTTACCATACTAACCTTCAAGGTGTTTAGAATACAGTCCAGGATAGAGATCTTTCTGGAGTGAGGGTGGAGGCTGGGGCTGTCTATGTCTAAGTTGAAAGGTAACAAATAAGGTTTCCTCTTTTTTTTTTTTTTTGCTTTACATGGATCTCGTCTTTCTTTATAGCTAAAATAGAAAACTATAGATCTGGTCTTAATAGACTTTAAATTCTGGTCTGCTATAAGCAAATTTGCTGAAATAGTGCAGCACCACCTGCAAGAAAATGCCACACATTGTTCCACCAGCAAACTTTGTAATGGTTATTCACCATCACTATAGCTTCACTGTGACCAGGAAGAGAAAATGCAGCAGATACTGAAGCACATGCAAGTGTGAAGTACTGAAGTGTCCTCGAGCAGATGATCTACTGACTTCAGGATGGAAACAGAAAACAATTTGAGTTACGGTAGCAAGGTGGAGAATTAAGAGAGACCATGGATGTGTTTAAAGATCTGATTTGAGTTCATTCAACAGTGAATGTCAGTTTACAGTATTTAGATTAATCAGTTTTCAGGAGTACTGTAAAACACTCATGCTTAATTCTTGTCTGCACATAAAATTATGCTATTATAAAGCAAGATTACTTCCCTAATGCTGATACATTAAGGCTGGTACAAGTGCTTAACTTGATAATGCTCATTTCAGCATAGGCTGGGTAATAAGGTATATAAACATAAATGCTTTTCTAACAGATAATTAGGCTTGTAGAAAACTGCCCAAGAGAGCAAGCAAGTAGCAACAATGAAGTTCACTCCCTCAAAATGATAAATAACTTGCCTTAATGCATAGTCATAGTGCAGAAATTCAGAGGATGGTAAGGGAAAGAGGGAGGAGGAGACAGAAGTGTAAAATGGCCCCTAGCTGTCATATTTGCCCTGAAGTGTCTGACTTGGTAAATGCTGGAGCTGGCTCATTACAGAGGCAACATCGCAAAGAGGTGTCTGTGTCACACATGGGGGATTACAACCTGTGCTACCTGGGTTATCTAGTGCTTGCTATGATCTGAGATATCATTTCAGTTGATGAATCAACAGTTTCATCCTGCCACTATATTGGCTAGGCCCTTGACAAACCAACTAGGAAAAAAAGTGTACCATGATCCAGGATGTGGCCACCCCTCTTGTGAGATAGGCTGGTAAAGTAGCAAGATTCTTATCATCAAACTTTAAATAAAAATCCATACTTTAATGTAATGATACTAATTTCTTGTGGTATATTCTGTTTAATTTTTCTTAGAACAACTGGAATATCTGTGAAAACAGCATTTAAAAAGTCTAAGTATCCACATTTTTAAAAAAAACTAAGTTCCACATTTTTTAAAATCTAAGTATCAAAAAAAAAAAACAACTAAGAATCCAAACTCAGACAGCCTCTACTTAACCTCACTAGCCAGGACCTCTCTTTCCTTATCTAGAGTGACTGTTTTGGAGCCGGTTTTGTTCACTACTTACAGGCAAGCAATTGCTGTGAAAATGAGACAATATACTTCAGACCCTGTAACCACCATAAAATATTTTACCTTTTATGTATCTTTAAGTAGGACAATATTGAGTTTGTTATGAGCAATTTAGCTTCTGTAGAAAATTACTTCTTGTTTTATAAATGAATAATAATTTCTCTTGTACTCTATTTCCTTTAGGAGTTATGAGAAGCAGAGAATGCAAGAGTATTTGCAAGAGTTGCAAGAAATGGAAGAAAGAGTAAAACAAAGGCCGTTGCTTTTTGAAAGAGTTGCTCAGGTTGTCTTTGTTCCATACTACTGCTTAATCTTACCTTCGAATACTGCATAAGACATTTTCAGTCATACATTTTAGAAGATATCTGAAAAATACTTTTGAGACCCATATTTGTCCAGTTTACTCTCTGTTGCCCCACTCCACATAAATATTACTAATTTTTGTGACTAAACATTCACGGCACGCTTGCACAGGGAACTGAGTTGGCTGTTGTAGACATGTTGTCTGATTCGGTTATAAAATGAGTTAACTCTAAACTCAACAAAAAATTACAGAAAAAATGTGAGAGGTTTAAGTTGGGAAAGTAGTGATAAGAAAATTCAAGTGTTCTTAGTGTCTGTTGTAAAGCTCAAATGCAGTATATATTTATCTTCATTTCAGTACAAGCATGTGCTGGTAACCTGGTCCCTGACCTGTTTCCAAACCCTGAGAGGCAGCAATTCATAGACCACTGGTTCGCTTGTCCATTCTGTCTGTGTGGGTTTCCTTGTCTGCCATCGCGGCGGGGCAGGAGTATCTGTGTAGATTAGAAGACAAGTCCTCCTCACTCAGATATTACCTGGAGGAACAGAATTTATGCCCTCAGTTTCAGAGGCGGAGATACACATCTATGTAATTTGTTAAACAGCACTGTAAGAAGGTGAATCAATACAACTATTTTTAGGGCAGCAGCTCCCAATGAGAAAACAGAGGAGAGAAGATAAAGGAGAAGCTCTGGGAAGACTACGTCTGATTTTCTACGTGTCCATGTCTTCCTCTTCCCCCCTCAATAGCTACATAGAGAATATATAGCGCTGCATTAGCCAGTGGGTGCAGGGACCAAACCGGATTTAAACTAGTACAGAAGAGGAAAATCTGATGTAAAATTGTCAAGTATTGTTTTACCGTTCTTACCTGCAGTGAATAATCATTCAACTTCTCAGATGCAATTAATGAAACAGAGTATTAATATAAATAAACAAAAGTGTCAAAAGACAGGCATTTAATGCATTTAGGTAACACCTAACCATTGTGGTTTTCCTACAGAAAAATGCCAGAATAGCTGCAGAAAAGCATTATGCTAACAGACTGAGAGTGCTGGGGATATGCCCAGAGTTTGTTTCAAAGAAAAGACAAGCAACTAAATTGCTCCAGTGCTCCAGTGCTGAAGATTTTAAAACCTCCACTGATGCCAGAGAAAGGTAGATTACTGAAGCCTTTTTTTTTGTTTTTTGCCACCACATACCTAGTTGATTAGAAAGGGTTTTTTTGATGTGTAGGTTTGAGGGTTTTTTCGATTTTTTTTTTTTGTAGTATTTCCCAGGTAAATATTGGACTAGTTAGCTTTACTAATGTTAGCATTAGCATGTATTTTTTATTTTTTCCTGAATTAAGTATTATTTCATAAAACAGAGGAGAGCACTGGATATGTTATGCTTCAAAGAAAAATGAAGAAATACAGTTTTTCTTTGTTCCTTTCGCCAAAAATTCTGGCAGGTTGCTAGTAAGTCACTTCATTGTGCATTACCTTTACTGAATTTTCAAAATAAGCCTTGTGAAAAAAAATGTTTTTCAATATGCATTAGATATTACGATTTAAAAGGAAGCAGAAATAAAAAAAATTGAAATATATAAGCAATATTGTTGAGTTCCTTTCTTGCATACAAGAAGACTCTAGTGTCCCCCCTTCCCCAGTTCCACCCCAGCCACGTCTACTAGGAATTGTCCTACATTACCTGAAGGTAGTTTAAAACCTAGTGCAAAGCATCTTACCTGAAAATAAAATCACACATGCAAATTGTCTTTTCAGAATCATCAAGGATAAAGTGAAAAAAAGGGAATCCTTTGAGGAAGCAGCTGAAAGCAGTCCTTCGTCTGAGTGGTCCTGGGAGGAGGAGGACAGAGAGAAGAGAAAAAGTGTCAAAACCTCCACCCCGAATGGGCAGTCCAGTGAGCTGGAGGATGAGCAAGAGGCAACAGCCAGCCGTTATGCTCATCAGCCTTACTTGATCCAGCCCCACTCTGACCAGCACCGTGAAGAGGAGGAGGAAGAGGAAGCAAAGGCAGGCCTGTCGCTTGGCCATTCACAGGAGGAGGAGGATGATCAGTCAAGACCCAGCTCTCCATCTGACCAGTCCCATGAGCGTGAAGAGGAAGGAAAGTCTGACCCTGAAGCTGAGGGTGCCTTCGGATATGAGGATGCGGAGTATGAAAAAGATGATTCAAAAGAGAAACCCAGCTATGATGAAACTGACTGAAAGAACGGCAGACAGCATGGTCTGGGGCTCAGGAACCTACTTCATTGCTGGCAGTGAAATAGCCGCCAAAGAAAAACTTGGCACTTTGCTACTGATACAAAATCCTGTGAATTTAAATCTCCTAGCTATTAATAGTCTTTCCAGCACATAAATTTTGTCTACTTTCCAGTAAGAAAGATCAAGTTACTAATTTCCATCAAGAAAATAATTTACTTTAATATTAATCTTCTTTATTCTAGTCTTCTGTGACATTAGCATACCTCTGTTCATAAAATGAACTGCAACCACTGATGAATAATAACATCTTACATGCTGTGTTTGGTAAGTACTGAGGTCTTATGTCCAGCTCTGTGTGCTGGCAAAGCCAGATGAGATTTTAGAGTAGTAATTTGCCATTATCAGTGCCTCCCAGTCTCAAACATTTCAGTACTTCTGGGGTCTGTTCCTGCAACATCTTCTAGGATGGCAATGAATAGACAAGGGTGCGTTGTGCAAGACCTCTGTTTTCAGCAGAGCAGCTGCTAGAAAGGCAACTTGTTATGCAATTAGACAATATAGTCAAATTAATCTGTTCAATTCCTCCCTCCTCTTCTCATGGGGTTTGTCTTCTGCCCACTTAAGTGAGCTGATTTGGCTCAGTGATGGGTCAGATGAGTGCCAGGGCCAGAAAAGATTACTGCTTTTGGAGGAAAGAAGCTGATAATTCAACTGCTTTGGCCAAATAGATATTAACAGTATTGCAGTTACTCTCCCTATAGTAGAGAAAATGCCTAGAATACACTGAGAGGAGCCATTTAAACTTTCACAGAGATTTTTAACACTTACAAACAAGTAAGGTGGAAGAGTAAGTCAGTAGAATAATATGTTATGCTGCAGATCTTGTATTACTGTCAAACCAACACCTGAAACTGTTTTTTCAACTCCATTTTGTTTTGAAGAGCTCTTCCCAGGACCATGTAAAATCATTCTTTATAACATAATAAGAAATGCTGATGTTAATCTTCAAATTTCTTTCTTGAGGCAGTAAGCATACACTGTAAAGAGAGAATCTTATTACATCAGGTGAAAATGTAGCCCAACAACTCTGGCTGCATGAAAGTATGGAAAGAAGTGCTTTAGTACCTTTTCTTACACAATTGCTACTCAGGACTTCAGCTACTACACAACAAAGAATGAAAACAGAAAGTTAGTGGTTTGTTTTTTTCTTTTTTTCTTCTTTATATTAGTAGCACCTCTCCTCCTATTGCAGGCTTTCTTGCTAACCAGTCGTATGCAATGTTAGGAAGAAATGCATCCACATAATAACAGACCACAAACAAGGATTGCAAACAAGACTTGTCAGGACAGAGTATAATGCGACATTGCACAGATGCTCAAAACATGTTCATTGAATAGTAAATGCATTTGTTAAAACTACCAGGTTTGCAAAGGCATCTGTAGTGACTAACAATAAGGATTATTTTTTAATCATTATTTTCTTCCACACTGCATACAAGAGCACTAACTAGATCTTTTATTATTTCTTCCTTCTGACTTTCAGAAACCGTGTAACAATGTTTGGAAAATTTTTATCATTATTACTTTTATTTATTGATGAAGTGTAAGCATAACTAATATGAATTTGAAACTTACTTTTTTACTTAAATAATCTATTGTATGTATGTCATACATGAAAATATTAATTATTACTTCACAAGGCAAATCAGTTTACAATCTCTAGTTATACCTGACAACCCCACAATACAAACTCAAGGTTGGTTTGCTTGTGCTTGTCAGTATTCTATAATTCTGAAGAGTTGTATAATATGTTATTGAATTTGTAGTCACATATTGCGCATATTTGTCTCTTTACTACTTTTGAAAGAAGGCAGAAGAGCTCTAAATAATGCTTTTTAAAGATATTTTTGACAAGGTTTCGAATCAGAAAAAAAAGATCTGTTTTTAATATCTGATAGGACTCATGTTCTAAAAGAACATAACTGTATAATTGTTGAACTATTAAGATAGAGATTAAAAATATTACTAAAACTCCTTTGAACTGGAAGGAGGTAGCAAAAACAATGCTTTTTTTTAGGTTTTAGAAGAAGGATTTGGGGACCTGTGTATAACTTAGATTGAGATTTTCACTGAATTTTTACTATATTAACTTTAATAAGAACAGCATTAATGAACACACAGATAAATGTGATATAACAAAGAAGAATTAGTACAGCTTTTGGAGGTTATGGCTCAACTTTTTTAGCATTTCTGAAAAAGTCAAGCAGAATCATATGGACTAAGGGTATCCAGTTCATATGGTTTATCTAGATTTTCAGGAAGCATTTGATAATTTGCTATGAAAGGATCTTAAATCAACCTTATTGTAGCAGACTAAAGGTCTTGATGAATTAGTAACCAATTAAAAGTTCAGGGAAGAAAAGGTCAATTTTCACAGCATAAATGCTGTTATCGATAGACGTTCAATGAGATTCAAACTGCTCAGCATACTTGGAAGGGATCTGTAGTATCCATTCCAGAGATCTTGCTGAGACCACAGAGTTATTCAATGCTGTGAAAAAATGAAACTGACTGCGCAGAACATACCAAAGGATCTTATGACACTGAATGATAGAAGAACTGATATAGTTCAGTTTTAATAAGTGCAAATAAATGCATGTCAGGGTAAAAAATATTCCTAAATGATACAATACTATGCACTGAAATAAAAGCAATTCCATCTTGAATACTGCATACATACAGTCCTGGTCTTCCCATCTTAAAAGGGCTTTATTAAGTAACTGGAAGAAGGCAACAAGCATAATCAAAGATAAAAAATGGTTTTCATATGACAAGAATGTAGTTTGGTTTTCATATAACGATATATACTAGGATTCTTTCATTTGGAAAACATATGAGAGATCAAACTTTGAGATGTTAAAGAAACTATTCATGGAAATCACTCTGAGAGCAGAGATTTTCAAAGTAGAAGAATAATGAAATTTAGGTCAAAGACACTGTTCAGAAATTGCATTACAAACAAGAAAGCTATAAGTGTTCCAATAAGGAACTAAAAAGGAAAGAAATAGCAAAGAAAAATCACAGGTGACAGAGCAAAAATGGGGAGGGACAGGTCAGGATGAATTAGATCTCGTGAAGCAAAGTACAGCAGTGACAAATTCTTCAAACAAATAATCAGACATGTACACCATGCTGTTGTGAGATGAACAATAGGATGGCCTAAAAAACAAGTCATTATTTGACCTGTTTTTTTGGGGGCGTTTTGGCGAGGAGGATGATTTAAAATGTAGACAAAACAGGAAGAAACTAATAGGATGATGGCACTGAAATTAAAAGGACTATATTTAAAGGAAAAAACAGTAACTTCAACCTGGAAATCCAAATCCAGGTGAAAGATTTTGGTAATTTACCAAGATGCAGAGTAGTACCATAGAAAGGAGAATAGAATATGTAGTACTTTCTGTCAGAACTCAAAACATTTTGATGCAATTAACATGGAGGGGGAAAAAGTCATGTGATTCACAAAAAATTATATAATAGAAGCAGTTTAAGGTATGCACCTCGTTAAAGGTCAAATTATGATGAGTTACGCTTTCAGGGAAGCTACATGGTGGGAGGGAGATGAATGGAAAAGTTTCTCACAGATTATTGATTATTCTGTCTTTAATATTTTATTTAACAGCCACAGCACAAAAGTAGAAACATGTTCAAAAAATTGCAAAGAAAATGGGAGGTGTATCCAAAAAAAAGGATTAGAAATACCACATGGGAAGAAGAGGGTAAATTTGCATGTAGACTATAGTATTAAATAATAATTTCAAGAATAACATTTCTTCAATGGGAATTCATCACCTGAAGCTGCAAGGAGAAAGACCCAGATGACTTGTTGAGCAACAAATACTGTACCACAAAATGTGATCATAAAAAAGGTGATGGAACTGAAGGATGTGCCAGGCACAATATTTCCAGCAGGACTGGAATAACAGTACTTTTAAGTCCAAAAACACTAGAGATTCCATTCTGAGTTTATAAGTGATTCTCATGGTACTGAATGTGAGCAATAACCTTAGTTGGAAATTCTGTTCTAAACTGTCTGTCGCTCCTGTGTTGTCTGCTCACATCTGCCACAGGTTCCCACTGAGATAAGATGTAGCCATATCCACCATGCTGAAGAAGGCTGATGGTACAGGCAGTCTGAATGGCCAGCTTGGCTCCGATACACTAGGTTGCAAGTGTATGTAATTTCTAGTGGATACATGTCCCAGGAAAGGGATACAGATTGTGGAAATTTAGTGCTCACAGGCAGTGTATTTGTTATGGAAAGGCTCTAGGATCTGGTGAGCCCAGGCTGAAAGTGGTCGTGAGGTTGTAGGACCTGCACTGTAATAAGATAGCTGCATTTACTGAAGTTTAGAGACATCAGAAATGGTATTTTATTAGGAGCAGGAAATTCCACTGGAAAAGGAGTATCACTGCCAAGTAAACCAAGTCGAAGGACAAGGCACACAGAGAAATAAAAATTACTTTAAGTTGCAGCCAGATACAGTGCCCTGTGTGACTGTGCAGCACCTACACTCATCTTACTTGCACTGAATACAGCCCTAAAATGTTGAAATATTGACAGGTTGTACATAAAGCCTATGTATATATGTATTTCTAACTCTATATATATTTTATCTATATAATTATACAGGTTTCTAAATTTTGAAGTAAGAAGCCAGAAGTTTTGATATCATGCTGCTTCTGGGTGCAATGCAACACTGTGGTATTGTTCTCAGGGAAGCCAAGAACAATTCTGAAAGCTAACATAAAAGTGCCACTGAACACACTAAACACACAGTGTTCAACTTTGAAAAACAGGCTTCAAAAGCACAGTACCCAGCTGGACTCCAGTGAGGCTATGGAAGCAAGAAGAGTCGCTAACTGTGGACTGCTATATGACATCTTGAGCTTTGGCCAGACAACCACCCCTCTTCAGGGGATGCTTTTATCTTTTGGTTTGC